GAGGAGAGGAGGTGGGCTAGGTGGGCATGAGCGCGCACGCTCAATGCGATCCCCCCCCGTTAATAACCTCCAAGTCCTCACCCCCCTTCGCACATCTCTTACCGCTACCCCCTCACATTCAAACTCACACTCCTCCCCTTCTTCCCCACCCCCCCCCCTTCCTTCCACAGCGACAAAATCAGCAGGAAGAGAGGGGAGGGACGGGCTGCTGGCTGGTCACCCTCGCCACCCCCACACCTCCCCACCCCCCCCCCCCCACGGCAGAAGCCGCGGAAAGGAAGGGGGGGGGGGGGGCGGCGCACGGAGCTGCTGGCGCGAGCGTCCGCGCCAGCGTAGGCGCTGGCGCTGGCGGCAGCCGCAGGTGCTGGCGCTGGCGCTGGCGGCAGCCGCAGGTGCTGGCGCTGGAGCTGGCGGCAGCCGCAGGTGCTGGTGCTGGCGCTGGCGGCAGTCGCTGGCATCCGCGGCGACGGGAAGAGCGCGACGGACGATCAGGGGCGCGACGGACGAGAAGGGGCGCGACGGACGAGCAGGGGATGGGATGGGCAGAGCGGAGGGCGCGATGGGCGACGAACGCGTCGGGCGCAGGGCGCCACGGACGGGACGGGTGTGGGGCACCATAGGGACGGGTGTGGGCCCATTGATCTTAAAGAAAAGAGAAGGTTCTAGGAAAGAACCAGCTCTGACACCATGTCAAAGTGAACACTAGGCTTAGGAGCCTAGGGTAGAACGTGAGGGTCGAGAGGGAAGTGTTTGGCCAAAGAAAGAGGTGGTTCACTATGAAGAATGAAGTACAAGTAGGCAAGAGAAGATGGTGCACCACCAAACAGTTGATAATAATGACTACAGTATCTACAGCAAGCAGGATACATATTTAACATTACTGGACACATTGGTGTCAACTTCATGTACAGTTTGAACATTCTCAAGCGCGAGTGTCTGATTCGTCATACCTGTTATAAAGGCAAATCCGCCTGTCATCTCCACTGGTAATTTTCTAACTATTCCAACACCATTCTAAGGGCCCGCTTTGGATGCAGTCCCAGGTGTCAACTATTGGGTGTTTACACACCTCATATGCTCTTTTCCATTACTTTCACTAAGTCAACAAATTCACGTTGGAATTGATGACACAATGTGGTTGACCCCAGCCTTTACGTGAGTGATTTGGGATAATGGCAATGCAGCTCTTTCACTAGCTCGGTGAAAACGTGTACACACTGTACGAGATTGTCATACCATTGTTTCCAACCATCTAGTGTTTTCCATGCTGAAAGCTGTAAATCCTCGGTATTGACGGTACGCAAGGGCTGCTTTATTTGCATTTGCCAGCGTACATTCATCATTTCTCAATAGTGTTAAGCACCGTACTCGGCACTTTTACATTGAGTTCGATGACGTTTGGAGTGCAAAATTTTCCCATAAGCTGCCTTCAACAGTCTTCGGCGTACCATACTTATTATCGGATAACGCTCGATTGTCTTGGCCTAGCCAGATCCAACTGATCCAGCTTATTCAAAACGCGGTAGGGATTCGGCTTCATTTGGTATGGCACTTAGTTAATATCAAGGTCACAATTACACATTGACATCGTCTACGTGACGGAAGGCAACTTTCGATTCATAACGAGTTATCCGATATCATGAAGTAATCGAACATACAAGCGTGAACGCGTTCCTTCGGAACGATGTTACAACTGTACACGGGAAGGGTGTCTGATTCGATGACCTCGTAAGTTGGGACTCGTCACTAACGTCCCTTCATGGCATGACGCTGACTTAAAGGTTCGTCCACCCAGGCTAAATAGACAATCCCTTTCGCCCAGTTGAGTATCAGGTTACCCAAACGGTACTAGCCGCGGGGCTTCAACGTTGAGACGTTGTAACGGTTGCCTCATCATGGTTCATCGAGTTTTCTCAAATCCTATGAGAATGCTACGCCACCCTTATTGATGCATGATGTATGTCATATTGTTATAGGTTGCTTATCTGATGTCCTCACCATAGTCAATCGAAGGCAAGTGTTTTTTATTGGCAATGTTGCTTGCGAATTAGTGGGCTACGGATTGAATGGGATATTCACGTGGGCAATTCATACGTGGTCATAAACATACTCATGCTCGCAAGGGACCCGTACCACATTTGTCTCACCCTGCGATTGTAGAATCTCGGATTCTGTTGAACTTAGCAAGTAAAGTTGAAATAAACTCCTAGCTCAAATACTCGCTTATTCGACACTTTCTCCTTAGTGGCCAACCAAAATCTATCGTCTTCATGGACACGCCGAATCCCCATTGTTCCAAGCTCAAACCATTTTCTTCTTTATGACTGTGAAACATTTTTACGCAGGTGCGTCAGCTGCCCTTCCAGCTGGGCGATGAACAAGTCGTCGGTGACTTGGTAAGTCGACTCGATGAAGTGCCACGCCCGGTGGCCGGCGTCGAGGTGCTCCCTGCACGACTTCAGGGCGATTTGCACGCCCGGCGAGCAGCACCGCGATATGACCGTGAAGGTCAGCAGCTGCACGGCGCGAAACTCCGCACGCAAGTCGGGGTCATCCGGCGTCGCCACGGTACCGCGAGCAAAGTTGATCAGCCCGGCCATCTCCAGCTGGG